TTTAAGTCATAAATGAAACCAGGAATTGTATGTGTGTCCATTCGTCATCTCTGAATACCACATGAGTTAATATTACCTAGGAATTAGAACTTGCCTAGGTATTGAAATTTACCTAGGTCAGTTCTTCATTCTTTAAAAATATACTGTGACTTTTATAATTTAAGACAATTTGAGAAAAGCAAATGCTTGTTTCCTCATTAGAAAACAAGAATACTTTCTTGTCATCTTCTGGTATCAAAAATTATTTCAGTTTGATTTACCTTTATCTAAGGGTAAAATTAATTCCCCCTACACCTAGATGATTTTTTTTTTGTATTCAGTAGTTCCAAAAGAAAATTCTCTGTAGTTGCAGGCTATAAAATAAACCCACATAAATCATCAGCATTTCTATATATTACCAACAAAGCCCAACAGCAAGAGATAGAAAGAGAAATTCCATTTAAAGTTACTGTAGACATTATAAAATATTTAGGAGTCTACCTCCCGAAACAAACCCAGGAACTATATGAACACGATTACAAAACATTTTTCGCACAAATAAAGTTAAATCTAAATAACTGGAAAAACATCAGTTGCTCATGGGTAGGCCGAGCTAATATAATAAAAATGACAATTCTACCTAAGCTAATTTACTTATTCAGTGCCATACCAATCAAACTACCAAAAAATTATTTTATAGAGTTAGAAAAAAATAATAACAAGATTCATTTGGAATAACAAAAGGTCCAGAATATCAAGGGAACTAATGAAAAGAAATGCAGGGAAAGGTGGCCTAGACATTCCAGATCTTAAATTGTATTATAAAGCAGCAATCATCAAAACTACTTGGTACTGGCTAAGAAATAGAGAGGTGGATCAGTGGAATAGGTTAAGTATGCAAGACACAGTAGTCAATGACTACAGTAATCTATTATTTGATAAATCCAAAGACACCAGCTTCTGGAATAAGAACTCACTATTTGATAAAAAACTGCTGGGAAAACTAGAAAAGAGTATGGCAGAAACTAGGCATAGACCAAAATCTCATACTGCATACCAAAATAAAGTCAAAAAGAAAATTCTGTCTAATTTAGACTGAGTCTATGCGAGCAGAGTATCCATAACTAGATACTAATATAAAATATGTCTGCATACTGGCTGAAGTCCACATGTTAACAAAAAGAGATTAATATAAAATGTATGCCAACATCATTCTTAGAAATTTTGCCACAGTCTTGTGTAGTGAGAGAAGTGATTGGTTCCTTGAATATTTATCATATTCACTATGAACATGCAAACATCAATAGATGTCTTCATGGTGTTTTCCAATTTTGGCTTTTAGCTTCCTAAAATATAAAAGATCTTCCCATCCAGTTTCAAGCATTTTTTCTTCCCTTGATTTAATTTCATTTGCATAATGAATTTATTGTCTTTGGCAAGGTGCACATTTACCTGCTTCATATCCGATTCTTTGTGACCCCATTCGGGATTTTCTCGGCAAAGATACTGGAAGGGTTTGCCATTTCCTTCTCCAGCTCATTTTACAGATGAGGAAACTGAGGCAAACAGGGTTAAGTGACTTGCCCAGGGTCACACAACCGGTAAATGTCTGGGGCTCTATTTGAACTCAGGAAGATGAGTCTTCCTGACTCCAGGCCCGACACTGTCCACTGCACCACCTAGCTGCCCATGTCTCCTTCAAGTCATAATTAAACTCTTAGAAAAAGTCATCTACACTCCTTGCCCCCTACTTTTGGACCTCCCATTAATTTCTTAACCCTTTGGAATCTGGCTTTGGACTTGAACTCACTCAACTGAAACTGCCCTGTCCAGGTTATCAATGATCTCTTAATTACCAGATTTGAGGTCCTTTTCTCAGCCCTCATCCTTCTTGAACTGTCCATGGTACCTGACACTGTTGATGACCACCTCCTCCCGCCTAGACTCTGTCCTGCTTGGGTTTTCATGGCACTGCCCTTTCTCCTTGTTCTCCTCCCACCCGCTGACTTCTCCTTCTCAGTCTCATTTGTTAAATCACCATGCCCTTGGTGGGCAAACTCCAAGACTTTGTCCTGGGACCTCTTCTCTCCGTATATGCTCTGTCTTGGTGATCACAACTGTTGTCATCTTTATCATATTACCTCTCCTGGGCTCTAATCCCACATCACCAACTGCCTATGGGACATTTCCAACTGGATGCCTCATAGTCATCTCAAACTCTACTTGTCCTTAACAGAACTCATTATCCTCCCTATCCTCTTCCTATAATAATAATAATAATAGCCAGCATTAATGTCACTCTTTAAGGTTCGAGAGGCATGTTACAAACATCTCACTGGAGAGTCACAATAACCCTGAGAGGGAGGTGCTATAATTATCCCCATTTTACAGATGAGGAAACTAAGGCAGAGAGAGATTAAGTGATTTGCCTATGGTCCCCCAGCCAAAAAGTGTCTAAGGCAGGATTCAAACTCAAGTCTTCCTTGACTCAAAGTCCAATGCTCTATCCACTGTGCCACTAAGATGATTCCCTTTTCTACCCTTCCTATTTGTGTTGAGAATACGTACTGCCCTTCTTCCAACAATCACGTTCATCACATTGGAGTCATCCTTGCGTCATCACTCACGTATCTCCCCACCACGTCCAACCGTGAAATCTTATTGATTCTACCTCCCCCAAGATCTCTCAGATCTACCTCACTTCTCTTCACTCATGCAGTCATCACCCTTCTTCAGGCCCTTAGGATGTTTTGTTTAGACAACTGCAGTAGCTCCTAACCTGACTCCCTACTGATGGGGTCTCCCCCTCCAACCCATCCTCCACACAGCTGCCAAATGAGACTTCTCTAGCACATTTGTGACCATGCCACTCTCTTATTCAAGAAGCTTCAGCGGTTTCCCCACTACCTCTAAGAACAAATATAAACTCCTCCATTTGGCTTTTAAAGCCTTTTGCAAGCTGGTTCCAGGCTACATTTCCAGATTAATTACACTCTACATTCTAATCATAGCAGCCTTCTCACTGTTCCATCTTCCACATTCATGCCTTCACACAAGCACCAGGTACCTAGTACACACTCCATCCTCAGACCTTCCTCCTAAAATCCCTACTTGCCTTCAAAGCTCAAAGCAAGGGCTTCTTCCTACAGGAAGCTGATTCTGACCTCTTCCAGGCGCTAGCAACCCTACAGAAATTGTATCCTCCCCAGAAAAATTTTCTATCTTCTTTGTATGTATAAGGGGCTGAATGAGTCAATCAATCCAATCACCCTCCATAAAGCAAATGACAAGGTGACTCACCCTGTTACTTTTGTCAGGTAAGAACAATCCATCAGACTAAGTGAACTAGGTGTGAGCAAAGCCTAGATATCATAATTGAATCAATCAAACATAGGCTTTAGACTAAGTGCACAAAATCCTTCACCAATTTAGAAGTCCTTAAAAGTCATCAGCTGTCCTAGTGGGGCCATTGCTAGCATATACTCTAAAGAGGTAAAAGGAAGGACTCAACATACATATATATTCATAAGAGCACTTTTTTGTTGTAGCAAAGAACTAACAAATCTTTATGCGGCAGCTAGGTGGCACAGTAGGTAAGCTCCGGCCTTGGAGTCAGGAGGACCTGAGTTCAAATGCAGCCTCAGACACATGACACTTACTAGCTGTGTGTCCTTGGGCAAGTCGCTTAACCCCAATAGTTTCACCAAAAAGGCAAAAAAAAAAAAAAAACCCAAAAAACTAGAAACAAAGTAGGTGTCCATTAATTGGCTGACAAATTATGGCTTATGAATGTAATAGAAAATTTTTTGCACTATCAGGAAGAAATGGATAGTTTCAGAGGAAAGGCTTCTATGAACTGATGCAAAGTGAAGTAAACAGAACTAGGAAAATGATTTATGCAATGACAAAAAAATTACAAAGAAAAACAATTGGGAAAGGCTTTAGAACTCTGATCAATACAATGACCAGCCATACCTCCAGAGGATGCACATTGAAGTATGGTACCCAACTCCTGACAGAAGAGTGATAGGCATGAGAGGCAGAAAGGGAAATACATTTTTGGATATAGTGAAGTGGGAATCTATTTTGTTTGAATATGAATATTGTTATGAAGGGTTTCTTTAAAAAATTATTGTTCAGTGACCCTGGGCAAGTCACTTAACCCCCACTGCCTCAAAAAAAAAATATTGTTCAATTGGAGGAATGATAGGGAAAGTATATAAGTTGCTTGTTAATTTAAAAAAATAATAAAACTAAATTTAATGATAGAAAACATGCCTCAGAGAGATTAAATGATTTGCTATAGGACAGACAAACTGGGATTCAAACCAAGGTCTCTCAACCTCAAATTCAATGCTCTTCTCCCCCAGAGGTGGGGAGCCTGTGGCCTCGAGGCCACAAGTGGCCTTTTAGGTCCTTGGGTGAAGCCTGGACTGAGTCCAAGTTCTACGAAACAACTTCTTTTATCAAAGGGATTTGTTCTGTGAAGTTTGGATTCAGTCCAAGGGCACCACTTGAGGACCTAGAGAGCCACATATGGCCTCGAGGCTGCAGGTTCCCCACCCCTGCTTGCCTTTGAAAGTGTTGTTTGATTAGTCATATCACTATTTGGGGAATTTTAAGTTTTTCCCAATTTTTCAATGTTCTAAATAATGTTGCTGTAAATGGGACTAACTGGTACAATTAGTTGGTTTTTTGTTTGTTTGTTTGTTTGTTTTGCCTCCCACCTATTGCCATGTTTATTTCTCTGGATTTGGACTCTCCCTCTTTCTTCTGCCTTTGGGGGTTTGTGCCCACCAGGTTCTGGTCTCTTCACCTGGCCTCTGACCCGGTGATTATCCAGCCCCTTGCCCTCCCTCAATGCCAAGCTTGACTCCAGCTTGCTTTCCTGGCTCTGACCCCAGATTCTTCCACTACTCCAGGCCTGGTATCCGCTTCTCTGATACCTCTCCCGGAATCCACAATCCGGGTCTGCCCATGTGCTGCAGTGACATTGACTCTCTTGGGACCTGATTTCTTACTCTGGCAGATGTGCGCACATTGCTTCGGGTGCTGTCCACAGATGGAGTAGCAGCTGATGCATTCTTTCACAAGGTGGTCATAGTAGCTGCCTTGTTTCTTGCTGCACCTCAGAGACTCTGGGAAATAGAGATTGGCACATAGTAAATGCTTCAGTTCTTCAAGAACTAAACAGGGGGCAGCTAGGTGGCGCAGGGGATATAGCTCCAGCCTTGGAGTCAGGAGGGCCTGAGTTCAAATCTGTCCTCAGACATATGATATTTACCAGTTGTGTGACCCTGGGCAAGTCACTTAACCCCAATTGCCTCACCAAAACAAAACAAAACAAAAACATCAAGCAAGCAAAAAAACTAAATAGTAAGGCTCATCCCATCCTGTGATGCAGACCAAAACTCCTTCATGTCTTAGTAGATTGTTTCATGAGACTCTAAACCCAGTTCTAGATTTTAGGAGCCTGTGACCTTCTTACCCCTCAAATAAGTCATTTAACATTCTAGTCCTCAGTTTCCTTATCTGTAAAATGAGGGTGTAAGATTAGATGACCTTGGGGCAGCTAGGTGGTGCGGTGGATAGAGCACCGGCCCTGGATTCAGGAGGACCTGAGTTCAAATACGGCCTTAGACACATAATACTCACTAGCTGTGTGACTCTGGGCAAGTCACTTAACCCCAATTGCCCTCACCAAAAAAAAAAAAAAAAAAAGATTAGATGACCTCTATAGCCCTGCCAGTTCTAAATCTATAATACTATGAAGTTTAAAAAGTGAGTTCTTCTTGCATTTAAACTTTTCTTTTTTCTTTCTTTTCCCTTCCTTTCCTTTCTTTCTTTCCTTCTTTTCTTTTCTTTTTTTCAGTTTGTACAAAAATATGATTCACACACAATGTGCCTAGAGTTCCTGATCTGGAGTCAAAAGATCTGGATTCAAATCCTGGTTTTCAGTCCTACCCACTGCTTGTATGATCTTGAAGGCACCACGTGGTGCCTCCTCAATTACTCTCTTCTGTAAAACAGAAGGTTTGGACTGAAGGATGTTTAAGGTACTTTTCAGCTCTATCCCATGACCCTTGAGTGTAAAATGAGGTGCAACTCTCCATAAGGCAAATACGTCTGCGTTAGGAGCAGCTTCCTCTATGTTCCAGGACATCTGAGGGAGCTCAGGTTTTCCTATACTTTCACCCAGAAGATGATCTTTTTAGATACAGTACGAGGGAGGGAGAGAGGGAATAAGCATCTTTATGTAGCTTACTATATGCCAGGCACTGTGCTAAGCACTTTACAAATATGATCTCATTTTTATCCTCACAACAACCCAGAGACATAAGTGCTATTATTGTCCCCATTTTACAGTTGACAAAACTGATGCAAATGAAGATTAAGTGACTTGTCCAGGGTCACACAGCTAGGGAACGTCTGAGACCAGATTTGAAGGTCTTCCTCACTCTAGGCCCAATGCTCTACCTATTATTCCACCTACCAGGAGATTTTTATCCTATGGATAAATTATTACAATGAACTTTGACCCTGGAGTGTGTTTTGATCTAAATTTTTTATTTTTAATTAATGGAATAAAACAAGCATTTTCATAACATAGTACAATAAAAAAGATGATTGCACATGAAACTACAAATCTTCTATGCACAGCTTGCTATTCTTTTCAAATATACAACAAAATTATCATGTAAATTGATCCAGTTTCCATAGCTGTACAACCAAAATACACAAAATATTAATGATGACACTTTGAGGTATCTTATCATTCAGGTCAAAAGCCATGACAAACAAACTCTAATAGGCCCTGACTTTATTGCATTGATTCCTGGCTGAACATGTGACCCTTGGTGGGAGCTTGACCGTCTTCTTGTTACAAAGAATTTTTCATTGTAATATCTGTGTCAAGTGAGCTGATCTGCAATGCCTTTACTTCCAAAAACTCTCCTCGTTTGTTGTCTCATTTAATTTTCACAATCACCCGGTGGAGTAAGTAGGGAAACCTGGTGGAATAAGTAGGGAAACTGAGGCACAGAGATGCAGTGACCAGCCCAAGGGCATATAAGTGAGCAGTGGGATCATGATAAGAATCCAAAGCTCTTTACTCACCTCCTCCTTTGCCTCCAACCCCAGACTGAATTATTCTTTTTTTTTTTTTTTTTTTAGGGAGGCAATTGGGGTTAAGTGACTTGCCCAGGGTCACACAGCTAGGAAGTATTATGTATCTGAGGCTGGATTTGAACTCAGATCCTCCTCACTCCAAGGTCGGTGCTCTATCCACTGTACCACCTAGCTGTCCCCTAGACTGAATTATTCTAAATGATGCCACAGCCTTTGCTAGCTCTCCCAAGGGGCTGATATGTACAATTGTCTTTTGTCTTTATTATTTCAGTAATATAACATTTTGAAACAGAAGAAAGTGTACTAAGTCACTTCCCTCTTTCTGGGCCTCTCTTCGTTTATCCAAAAAGCACTGATTTATGTGCCAAGCACTGTGCTGGGCTCTGGGGATACAGAGGCAAAAACGAAGCAGAGCCTGCCCTCCAGGAGTTTGCTTTCTATTAGGCAGAGGGGAGGAGAGACAACATGCACACATCTAAGGAAGTAAAAAAAAACAACAACTATACAAACTAATTTCCAGGAATATTAAACTGGCTACTGGAGAAAAGAGGGGGATCAGGAAAGGCCAAGCTGAAGGCCAAGGAGGAGACGACACCACTCTGAAGGAAGTGAGGGATTTCGTAAAGGCAAGGGGTTGGCCAAGAGGTCTCCTTTGTCTAAAGTTCCTCCTAGCTCTCTGACTGAGGGTAAGAAGATGCTGCGGGGGGGGGGGGGGGGGGGGAACGGGACACTGGATCTGGAGCCAGGAAGTGCCGATTTCAAATCCTGCCTCAAATATTTGCTAACTGTGTGACCCTGGGCATGTCACTTTACCTCTCTCAGTCTCAGTTTCCTCATCTGTAAAATGGGGATAATAATTGCACCTACTTCATAGAGTTATTGTGAAAACCAAAGATAGCTATATATCTTAAACCTGAAAGCATTATATAAATACTAGTTAATATTATTATTGCTGTTGTTGTTTACCTTTGTGCCTAGCATAGTGCTTTATATACAGTAGGCCCTTAATTAATGTTTATTGAAAGCTGAACATTGAAAGATGTCTCTTTCTTATTTGGGGGAATGGATATTAATCAACAAGCATTTATTGAGTTCCTGCTATAAAAAAATATGCTAGACACTGAATAATCATTGGCTACATATTCTTTTTTGTTTGTTTGTTTTGTTTTGTTTTGTTTTGGCTACATATTCTTGAAAATTGCTTTTAGGTCTGAGTCCAATGTCCCCCCACTCCACCCCAGTCTGTGGCTGGCACATAGTAGGTGAAATGTTTTCTGATTGATTGGTTTGGTTTTTAAACCTTTGATCAGATCCCCCAGGACCAGGGCATGTCAGAGCTGTAGGGACTCTTAGGGATCATCTCATCTAACCATTCCATTTCACAAACAAGGAAACTGAGGCCTGGAGAGGTTAAGGGAATTGGCCAAGGTCACATAGCTAGCTAACTGTAGGGAAGAGGCTAGTACTCCTGGCTCCCAGTCAAGGTAAGTTTGGTGTGTCCAAGCAGAGGCTGCCCAAGTCTAGAGAGGGTTCCGTTAGGACTTGATTCAGTCCTCCACTCCCACAGGGCCAGCACACCAAATTGCAAATCCCAGCACTGCCACTTACAAACTGTGTAGCCTTGAGTAAGTCACTCATACTCTCTGAGCCTCAGTTTCCTCATCTGGAAAATGGACTAGGTGGCCTCCAAAGTCCCTCCCAGCTCAAAATCTACACTCCTATGATCCCTTCTCCAGGACTTACTGCAGAACATGTCACAGTTCTTGTGGTTGGGTCTGTGGCATAGACGTTCGCAGGGGACACAGCTGTGTACTAGCAGGTCCCAATACTCTTCCTTCAGGCAGCGTTTCATGGTGCTTCACCATAGGTAAGGCTTGATGCTGGCTGCAAAACAGAAGAGGGATGAGGAGGGCCTCGCTGGGCCACAGGCTGATGGTTTGGTTCACTTTTCCCCTAAGAGAGCCTTCCAGGGACTCCCCTGCTGAAAGCCTGGCGTCAGGGGCTTGGCACTCGAAGCTCTTGAAATGAGCGTTATCCAATCCAATAAGCATTTATTTATCAAGCATTTGTGCAATGCACTGTGTGAGGGTAGATACACAAAAATAAAACCAAAAAAAAAGTTCCTGCCTTCAGGAAGCCTACGTTCTACTGCAGGAATAGAAAATATAAACATACATACAAACAATCTAGTTTTGGGAGGGAAAGAAGACAAATAGCAAGTAGAATCAGGAAGGGATCCCTGAAGGAGGTGGCGTATTCATTATAAGTATTTATTAAGAACCTACTCTGTCCTAGGTATTGTGTTAGGAGCTATGTGTGGGGGGAGTAAAAAATGAAATAATTCTTGCCTTCAAGAAGCTTACATTCTACCTAGAAGAAGCAACATGGACATTAAGTTCATATAAAATATATACAAAGTTATTTTAGGGGTAGAGGATAGCACTAAGCATGGGGGCGAGCATTGGAAAAGACCTTCATAAGGCATGGGGCTCGAGGTGAAAGGCAGAGAACACATTCTAGGCACAGGGTACACCCTGTGCAAAGTCATAGGGACAAGAGGTGGAATGTCTTGTATGAAGCCCAGAAGTAGGCAGTTGGGGTGGAGCACTGAATGTGAGAGGGAGTCAGATGACATCAGCCTCGATTTCAAAGGATAGACTGGAGCCAGACTGTTAAGAGCTTCAGATGCCAAACTGAGGAATCTGTGTTTTATCCCAGAGGCAATAGGAACCATGGGAGGGTCTTAAGCAAGGGAGTGACAAAATCAGATTTGTGTTTTAGGAATACCAACTTGGCAGCTGTGTGGAGGATGGATTGGAGAGGGAAGAAACTGAGAGCAACGGGGCTATTGCAATAGTCCGAGCAAGAGGTGATAAAGACTTGAACTAGCATGGTTGTGGTGTGAATATGGCAGCAATATTGTTAATATCAACTGTAACATTCCCTTCTCTGTCAAAAGGCCATTGTTGTTCAGCCTCCTTTCTCGAAGAGGACCAATGATATCAGGAAGGTGATGTCTTGACTTGCAAGTGAATTGAATTTAAGTGAGGCAGAGCTGTGCAAAGTCACCAGCCTCACTCTCTCCTCCAGGGTCATTGGAATCCAGTGGCAAGACGTAAGTCAGAACTTCCGGGGCAATGGCCCCAGAAGCAGTTATTATATTCGAGCCTCACAGTAACTCTGTGAGGGAGGTGCTGTTACAATCTCCATTTGACAATTGAAGAAACTGAGGCAGAGGTTAAATGACTTAGAGTCACACAGCTAGTAAGTGCCTGAGGCCAGACACTTAAACTCCTTGAGTTAATATTTCCTTGAAAAAGCTGAATTAGATGCCTTCTGAGGTCCCTTCCATCTCTAAATCTCTGATCCTAGAAGAAGCAAGTCACTTAATCTCTCAAGGCCTCAGTTTCCTCATCTGTAAAAGGAGAGGGTCAGATAAGGTCTTCTCTGACCTCCTAGTTTTAGATTTGCAATCCTTCAATTTATAAAATACTGGCCCTGGGGACAATGAAGAGATCAAACCACCTCTTGCTGGGACTATTGCAATAGGCCCGTTGGTCTCAGGGAGTTTAAGTGTCTGGCCTCAGAGATACTTTCAAATACATTTTGAAGTTGGTTGAATTGTTGTTTGTCCTTCATTCTAGAAGAGGACCAGGACATCAGGAAGATGATGCCATGACTTGCAAGTGAATTGGATTTAAGTGAGGAGGGCTGTGCAAGGTCACCAGCCTTGTACTTATTTTCAAAATGAAAAAAAGGGAAGGCTAAGAAACAATGAATAGAATACTTTACCTCATAGCAATATAATTCTAGAACTGGGAGGGACCTCAAAGGCCATCTAGCCCAACCCTCTTACTTTGTAGATGAGTTGCCCTAGGAACCATGGGAGGGTCTTAAGCAAGGGAGTGACAAATGGCTCCTCTGGAGCCATGTGGGTCCAGTGACCAGATATAGATCAGGATGACTGAAGATGGCCCTGGAAGCAGTAGGGGGACCTTGGTCTTTTTAAGCTAAGGTCTTTAACAGGTCTCAGCTTGACTGAGGCAACACTCATTCAGTGATTAAGGCTAGGTAAGAAATGAGGCAAAGAATGGCCTTTTTTACCTAATCCAAAAAAAAAAATCAGTCTGGGAGGGGAAGAACCTCAGGTCTAGCACACTTTTAAGGTTGTATAAAGAGAAGCTTTCTCCTCTTGCAGGGGCTGGGGGGAGGGGGAAGGAGGAGTGTACAAAATTCAGAATGTTATAGGCTGAGAGACAAGGTCCCAGGGGAAGCTGGTTTTGTTTGAAAGCCTATCTTTGCTTCAAGTGACAATTCATGGGCGGTGGGGAGAGTGGCATGCTGGGAAATAACTCAAATACTCTAAAGGATCTGTGAGCTTATTTATGTAGGAATTCCCTGTATTGATGAAGACCCCAGCCCATCCATGCCAACTCATCCTATGAGACTCTCATCCATGGTCTCCCTGAGTTCACCATGGTGTGAGTGGGGAGGAGGCCATGCAACATTCTCAGGATTATTTGCTGCATTATTCTTAGGAAATGGATATAATATAAAATATATAACCTATATTTACATGTAAATGTATAATATTTATGTGTATAAGTCAATATAAATACGAAAAATTAAAGGTGCCAATAAAACTGCACTGATATAACCATTAAGAACCTAAAGTTATTTCCTCCTCATAATTAGGCATGAGAGGAAGACTGTGGAAGCATGATGAAACAGTGGAAAAAGTATGGACCCTGGTGTAGTGGATAGAATGCTGGGCTTGGAGTCAGGAACACTCATCTTGGTGAGTTTAATGCCAGCCTCAGACACTTACTAGCTGTGTGACTCTGGGCAAGTCACTAACCCTGTTTGTTTCAGTTTCCTCATCTGTAAAATGAGCTGGAGAAGGAAATGGCAGACCACTCTGGCATCTTTGCCAAGAACACTCTAAATGGGGTCACGAAGAGTTGGTCATGACTGAAAAAATTGAACAACAATGGACCCTGGACCCGAGTTCAAATCCCAACATATGGGCAACTCATCTACAAAGTAAGAGGGTTGGGCTAGATGGCCTTTGAGGTCCCTCCCAGTTCTAGAATTATATTGCTATGAGGTAAAGTATTCTATTCATTGTTTCTTAGCCTTCCCTTTTTTTCATTTTGAAAATAAGTACAAGGACATTAAAAGACTTTTCTACTGGCCAGGAAAATACTTGACCTAACAAGGCGTCGTCGGGTAATAAACAGAGCGTCAGACTCGGAGTCCGGAGAGCTAGATTCGAATCCTGCCTCTGACATTTACTAACTCTACGACTGTGGACGAGCCTTTTTGCCCATCTGTCAAATGGGGATAGTCCTATTCATCCTGCCTGCCTGCCAACATTCTCATGAGGAAAGTGCTAGCACAAATCTTATCTAGGTTACGTAAAGATTTGAACTATTATTATTGTGCAGTTTAAAATAATTATTGGCGGCTTTCTAGCTTATTCCAGAACCACAGCGTCAGGAAGGACTCTGGAGTCTACTAGTCCAAAATCCCTGAAGCCAGCCTCCCCAGCATGGGGTCATCCAGTCTCCCTTTGAAGACTTTCAGTGACAGAGAACTCGCCACCTCCTGAATCATTCCATTCCAATCTGGGAGGCCCTCATCTCTGGGAAGTGGTCCCCTTAGAAAGCAGCCCCTCCTCCATTTCCACTCCTTAGCCTTCCCTCTGGGGCTAAGCATGTCGAATACGTGAGGACAGCTTTCACGTACACAGGTCTCCTCTTTTCTAGCCTACGTAGCCTTCTTTCTTTCTAGAAGATTATTGATCCAGAACTGGATAGAATCTTCCAGGCCTTGTAGTCTGGTTCCACCCCCCATCCCCCATTTTACAGATAAGGGACCACGGCCCAGAGAACTTAAATGATTTGTCAAGGTCACACTGGCAGTGTCTGATCCCAAATCCTCTGTCTCCAAAGGCAGTGGTCTTACCACTGCTTCCTAATCACATGGTCTCTGTGCCTCTCCTGTAGGTCACATTAGCTTATCCCCCATCCGAAACAGCCGCTCCTCAAGGGTATGGATTGTTTCACTCTTTGTAACTGTATCCCCTCAAACCGAGCACATAGCGAGTATTTAACAAATGCTTCTTGCTTGCTTGATTGTCAATACTCTTCCTAAAATGAATCACCCAGAACGATAACAAATTCATTTATCTTGTGCTGCAAAACTGCAAAACGCTTTTCCTTACAACATAGGGAGATAGATAGTGTAGGTAGTTATTATTCCCATTTTGCAGATAAGGAAACAAAGGCTCTGAATTACCAACTAACTTCCCTCAAGTAACACAACTATGATATCTTAGGTAGGGTTCAAATCTAGGCCTCCTTGCTCCCAAACTAGTGCTCTATCCACTAAGCCATATTGCCTCCCACAAACACTGGCTATGATACTCCAGATGTGCCTTGGCCAAAGGTACAGAATGCCTATCATTTCCTTCTATCTAGACACAATATTTCTGTTAAGACAGTCTAAGATGGGAATGACACTTTTGGCCGCCATCTTGTACCATTGACTCATATTGAGCATACAGTTCGCTGTAAGCGAATCTTTTTTATAGGAACTCATATTTAAGCAGCTTGTTTGTTTAAACCCTATTCAGGTATGTGATTGGCTGGAGGTAACAACTAACCAAAGCCTATCTTCATATTCAGCTTATAGAAATCTTGGGGAGGGGCGGCAGCTAGGCGTCGAAGTGGAGAGAGCACCGGCGCTGAAGTCAGGAGGGCCTGAGTTCAAATTAGGCCTCAGACCCAACACTTGACACATACTAGCTGTGTGACCTTGGGCAAGTCACTTAACCCCAATTGCATTACTAAAAAAAAAAAATCTCCAGCTCTCTGAACTTAAAGCACTCAGTGTCTAGACCACTCATTAAAAACATTATCTATCTATCTATCTATCTATCCACATACAAATTCATACACACATACACACAAACACACACACACACACACAGATACATATATATTTGTCAAATACAGGGTTGTAAGCAGAGCAGGGGAACCAAGGCTTATTTCCAGGGAGCCAACAGCTTGTGAAGTGGGTACTTCCTCCCACTAGCAGTCCTTGGGACCAGCAACCCAGGCCTCAAGGTCTTAGCATTACCTCGTACCATCAGCATCCTCCTCTACCTCCTCCTAGGGTCAGAGGACTGTTGGCTATGCTCCTGGGACATGGGCCATAATTTCTGGGACACAAGCTATCTCCCCTTGTGGTACAGCTGCACCTGAGATGCACCATGCATTGTGGCAGTCCCACCAACTGAATTTGCCCTGGGTGCAAGAGTGATCAGTCTGGCTGAATGAAAAACAAAATGGCAAAGCTCTGTTGTGCTAAAAATAACCAATAACCAAAAGCAGAGGCAGAAAAATACAAGGTTGGGAACATTTGAGTCTACCCTATAATCTCAATTATCTAGCTTATCTACCCCCCACATATATTTGTATATCTTTATGTATGCATAGCTATCTAACTATAATGAATATACATATATATGTAATGTATATTTGTGTGTGTATAACATGAGTCATCATAAGTTATTCAGAGCAGACGTATGATTCATGCCCAAGTCTACTTGGATCTGTGCCCAAGTAGGGACAGGATCATTTTAGGCTGTGCCATCATTTATCTTCACTGGCCATCCACCTCCCTCAGTGATCAATATTTGAGCATATTCTATGTGCCTCTTTGTCTTTCAGGTTATGGGCTATAGGAATTCCAGAGGGAAAAAAGGACCCATTCCCTGACCTCATGGGCATAAACTGAGAGACACAGCCTAGTAGATTAGAACAAACTTCTGGCTGAGTATGGAGAGACCCATAGACTTAGCTAAGACTCTGCTGTGAACTTGCTGTAGGATGTAAAGCAAGTCCCTTCCTTTCTCTGGGCCTCAGTTTCCTCCTTTGTGAAATGCAGGCAGTCTAAGTAGGTGACCTCTAAGGCCCCTTCTAGCTCTGTCATTCTAGAATTCTAACCAAAGTGAGCCAGAGGAGATAACGTGGTACTGTCGAAAGAGCTCTGAGGACTTGGGTTCCAGTTCCACCTTTGACACTTGCTACCTACTTGGAGGAGTTCCTTAACCCTCCTTGGGCTCGGTTGTCTCATCCGTAAAATAAAGGGGTAAGACAAGATGGCGTCCCATTCAGTTCTAGGTCTGATGTTCGACATGCTGGCGCCATGCTGACAACCAATATTGCCTAAACTTTCTGCAGATTAAAGAAAAGCTTTTTTTTTTTTTGACATTTCCCATTTCTCGTAAGTTTCTCTTTGCCCTAATGGTTTGTGGCCCACAGGGTCCCTGTCTTTTCCAAAGATTCAGAAAGAAGGTAGACCTAACCTTCAAGGCCAAAACCAAGAAGGCCTCTCTCCTCTCTCCTCTCTCCTTCTTTCATGAGACTGAGGAGGGAAAGGAATGAATTTGGTTGCCCTGTGCTCCCCAGGCTACAGTAACAGACTGTAATAATCCCTTGTGTTTATAGAGCACATCTAGCTTTTGAAAACAATTTTCCCAATCATTATCTAATATGGTGTAATGCAAAAACTTGGATTTTGAGACAGAGGACCTTGGGTTTCATCTCAGCCTCACAGTATTTGCTACCCATGTTACTTTAGGCTAGTCCTTTCACCTCTCTCAGCCTTGATTTCCTCACCTGTAAAATGAGAGAATTGGGCCAGATGGCCTTCTTTCCCGCTCTAAATCTCTGATCCTATCATCTCCTTTATGGGTGCTAAGTTATAATGAGAACTCTCCAGGCTGGCATCTGCCTTGAACTTTGCCAGCTGAGCTCTGTAGGAACTTAGCTATTCCCCACAGAACCTCTGGGCTATCTTCCAGACCTAAAATACTCTCTGAGCCTCACACAGCTCCCAAGACAATCCCATTTCCAACAAGTCATCTCCGCTTCCCTCAGCCCAACTCCCATGCTCACTCTCATGGGGCCACTTCCCTATTCCCTGATTTCCCACACAGAGTCTGGTAAGGTACTCACGTCTCTTCTTCCGCAAAAGGTTGTGCTCTCACCTCTCTCTACTTCTGCTCCCTCACAAGGAACTACAGTCCCAGGCCTTACCCATTACTCAGTAGGTTTATTATTAGCCTTAGATTTGATTAGTGTCTATGCTGTATGTTTCCTGGGTTTTTCCCCCAAACTTTTAATATGTAAATCAGCCATGGGCCCGATCATGCATGCTCCTGTATGCACACGTAATCTCTAGGGCACATTATAGCTGGGAGCTTAGACATGACCAGTGAATCTGATCCAAGTGTATCATCTATTCATGGAATGCGTACTGTACTAGGCACATTGTTCAGGCAGCTAGGTGGTGCAGTGGATAGAGCGCTGGGCCTGAAGTCAGAAAGTCTCATCTTCCTGAGTTCAAATCTGGCCTCATACAGTTACTAGCTGTGTGATCCTAGGCAAGTCACTTAACCCAATTTGCCTCAGTTTCCTCAAATGAGCTGGAGAGGGAAATGGCAAACCACTCCAGTATCTTTGCCAAGAAAACCCCAAATGGGGTCATGAAGAGTTGGAACAAGACCTGGCTCCCTCCTGGTGATAGTCTGCTGACTACCCTTTCCAGTACGGGTCCCACTTTCACTCATGGTCATCACAGGGGAGTCAGCATATTCCTTACTCTGCTTTATTATTTACAGACTGTCCCTCTACCCCCATCATCACATGAGCACCCTTTCTTCCTCCTCTCATGTCTTCTACTTATTTCTTTTTTTTTTTTTGGCTAGGCAATGGGGTTAAGTGACTTGCCCAGGGTCACACAACTAGTAAGTGTTATGTGTCTGAGGCCAGATTTGAACTCAGGTCCTCCTGAATCTAGGGCCGGTCCTCTCTTCACTGTGCCCCCTAGCTGCCCCTACTTATTTCTATCTTCACAACATCCCTGCTGTTTGTCTCCCCTGAATTCACACAGCTACCACCCTAGTGATGGGCCTTTACCCCGCTACTTCTCTGCCTCCAGTCTTTCCCTGCTCTAAATCCATCTTCCAATCAGCTATCAAAATGATCTTCCTGGGGGCAGCTAGGGGACCCAGTGGAGAGAGCCCTGGCCCTGGATTCAGGAGGCCCTGAGTTCAAATCCGGCCTCAGGCACATAACACTTAACTAGCTGTGTGACCCTGGGCTAGTCACTTAACCCCATTGCCTAGCCAAAAGAAAAAAATGATCTTCCTCAAATACAGGCTGACCTCATCGCCCCTGTAACCTCCTTCGGCTCCCTATTGTCTCCAGGATCAAATATAAAATCCACTGTTTTCCATTTAAAGCGCTCTACAACCTGGCTCCTTTCTGCCTTTGTAGTCTTCTGACACTTTACTCCCCTCCCACCAACACTGTCCAACTTGTTGTGTCTCACACACAATACTCCATCTCTCATTTACTTCCATGCCTTTGCACTGGCTGTCCCCCCCATACCTAGAACGCTCAGCCCTCTCACCTCCACCTTCTAGCTTCCCTGATTTCTTTCTTTTTTTTTTCCTTTTTTTCTTTTGGGGAGGCAATCAGGGTTAAGTGACTTGCCCAGGGTCACACAGGTACTAAGTGTCAAGTATCTGAGGCCACATTTGAACTCAGGTCCTCCTGACTCCAAGGCCAGAGCTCTATTCACTGCGCCACCTAGCTGCCCCTCTGATTTCTTTTAAGACACGGATTGAATCCCACCTTTTGCAGGAAGCTTTTCTTGGTCCCATGGCCCTCCTACCTCAACTGTTAGTGCCCTCTGAAAATATCTTCTAAATATAGTTATCCCTTCCCCATTGTGACTTTTCCTAGATATATCACGGGTCAGCATAAGAAATTAAATGGGAATTTTTAGGCAGTTTTGAGGAAGCCACAGATGACATGTGAAGGCCAGCAACTGACATAGAAAATATTGAGAAACTCAGAAATGCATAAACTGTATGTATAGTATTATATAATACCAACGTATTTTATCTTTTAATACCACAATAATTCTGACTTCTCTGGTACGAAGAGAGGGCCAAAAATTTTTACACAGATTTTTCAGGCGGGGGGGGGCATGCCCCTAACTCTCCCTTCCCCTTCTCCCCATGTGGAAGGGATAACTGTACTTCCATTTTGTATGTAGTTGTTTGCATGTTGTCTTTCCCATTAGATAGGGAGCTTCTGGGTTTGGTTTGGGTTTTTGTTTTTTTTTGTTTTGTTTTGTTTTGCCTTTATTTGTATGCTCAACACTTAACACAGTGCCTGGAACTAAATAAATACTTAATAAATAATTAACAAGGTACAGAAATCAGAACCATTGGGAAAAGCACAGATCTTAGAGCTACAAGAGCTGGACTCAAGTACCAGCTGTGACACTTACTAGCTAAGTAATTTTGAGTACACCGTCGTTTCACCTCAGTTTCCTCAACTGTAAAATGAAGATAATAACAGCACTACCACACAGGGTTGTTGGGAAGATCCAATGAGATAATATTTGTTAGGGGGGAAAAACCACTTTGCACAGTATCTGGCACGTAGTAGGAACTTTATAAATGCTTCTTCCCCTCCCCCTTTATCCTAGTCATTCCTACGTTACCTGTGTCCCCAGGTTTTTATGAAGATGGAAGTGAAATCAAGGCTGCAGTCTGCTAGGACTACGTACAAGCCTCCAGACCTGGAGACTGGCAATGAAGAAAGAGTCCAACTCAGAGGTGCCAGCATTTCATAGATACCTCCAAAACACACAGGTTCCCAGAGCCCATGGCCATACTAGAATCAAGGCTGAGGCTGACTTATCCTCCAAATACTGGGTTTTTAATTCTTGCTTCTTCACTTTTGGAGGGGAGGGAAGAAAAGGATGGGGAAAAGGGAGAAGTCTTTGGTTTTTAAAAACTGATTAATATTGTGTTGAGCCCCCCCAAAAAAAATCTCCCTCCTCAAAATACCTTTTCTTTACCTATCTGTGTAAATGTTACATCCAAGCTTCTTGAGGGCAAAGGACTAGTTTTTGTGTTATTTTGCATTCTCAGCGTCTAACACATAGTAGGTACTAAATAAATGCTTATTGAATGAATGAATGGATGAATGAATGGAAAAGCATTTATTAAGCACTTACTATGTCTTATTTCTGACAAATATTGATTGTGTGACCCTGGACAAGTCACTTAATCTCTCAGTGCTCTAAAGATATGAACCAGAGTTTGGGGAAGGGTCTTCTTCATCGTGTGGAGAGGGGAATACTATGGGAGATGAAGGGAGACAGTAAGAGGTAAATTGGGGAGGTTGGGGTGGGAAAAGACTGTCAGAAGCCACCTTTCCACCCCAATTAGAATCCTTTGCTTCCTTCCAAACTCTCCCCAAAGGATGCCTTCTCCATGGAGATCCTTGATCCCCCAGCTGTCAGTGCCCTCCCCCTCCCACACACAAAAAAATTTAGATTGTATTTATTTTGCATATTTTTATATATTCTTATATATGTATTGTCTTCATTAATATAATTTAACTCCCGGAGGGCAAGGGACTTGTCACTTTTGTCTTTTTATCTTTGGTGACTAGCACAGTATTTGGCACATGCTGGGTATTTAATAAGTTTTTGGTTGAGTGATTGACTGAGAATTTGGAGGTACCTTAGAGATCACTCAGGCATCTAGTGGTTTAGTAGACAGAGCACCGGACTTGGAAGCAGGAAGACTTGAGTTTGAATTCTGCTTCAGACTCTATTCTTGAGACCCCTGGTCAAGCCCCTTAACCTCTCTGCCTCATTTTCCTCATCTGCATAATGGGTATCATAATAGCGTCTACTATATAGAGTTGTATGGAGGATCCAATGTGATGGTATTTGTCAAGCCCTTTGCAAACTTTAAAGTACTTCATAAATGTTAGCTATTATTAGTCTAATCCCTTCTTTTTAGGAGAAGGAAACTGAGAGTGAGAGAGGAAATGACTTGTCTCAGGTCACAATGAGTTAGCTGCAAAGCCAGAATTAGAATTAGGGTATTCATTTTACCTTCATGCAAAATGGTCAGACTGGGCTGAAACAAATAAGAAGTGTATCTATCCTATTTTCCAAGTTTTCTGGCTGAAGAATCATTACATTCCAGCCAAACCGTCTCAATTCTATCCATGCCTGAAAGGCTCCCACCACCCTCTCCCCACCCCATCTCCACTTTTTGAATTCTTTCCCTTCCTTCAAAGCCCAGTGTTGTGTCCCATATCTCTTTCCCTCCAGCTGAAAATTACCACTCTCTCTCCAGGGCAGCTAGGTGGTACAGTAGATAGAGCACCAGCCCTGGAGTCAGGAGGACCTGAGTTCAAATACGGCTTCAGACACTTAACACTTACTAGCTGTGTGACCCTGGGTAAGTCACTTAACCCTGATTGCCTCACCAAAAAGGGGGAAAAAAATTATCTTTCCCCCCTTAAATTTCTCATAGCAGGTTACCTGAATTTCTCTTTTGCACTTAAAATGTTCCCTGTTGCATCACAGTGTGTCTGTGTGCCCCTTGAGCTCAGGATCTGTGCCTTTCTTCAGAACTTGGTGCTGTGCTTTGGATATGGTAGAGGCTCATAGTACCTGTGGAACTGAAATTGAATTGAAAGCACTGAAAACTAAAACTTAACTCTGTATAATTATAATGACCCAAGCTTGACCCTAGGAATGAGATGAGAAAATACTCCTTTATCTCTTCTTTGCTGAAGTAGGTGACTGGGGGGCAGCTAGGTGGCGCAGTGGCTAGAGCACCAGCCCTGGAGTCAGGAGGATCTGAATTCAAATCCGACCTCAGACACATAACACTCACTAGATGTGTGACCCTGGGCAAGTCACTTAACCCCAACTGCCTCACCAAAAAAAAAAAAGAAGAAGAAGTAGGGGACTAGGAGCGTTGCCCTTCTCAGTTGATCATAGGATCATAGATTTAGATTAGATTAGATAGATTAGATCCAAAGAACTTCAAAGGCCATCTAATCTAACTACCTCATTTTACAGTAGAGGAAACTGAGGCCCAGAGTGATTATGTTGCTTGCCTGAAATCACAGAGGTAATCTGAGATGGAATTTGAACCCAGACAAAGGGGGAAAGGGGGAGTACAACTAATCGTTAGACAACTAGTATACTGCAGAAGCCACAGATGTCACGTGAAGGCCAGCAGA